GAGTCGGGCACGGGCTATCGGACACACGCCAGCTACCTGGAGATATATAACGAACGGGTGAAGGATCTGCTGGCGGCCCAGAGCACAGGGCATGCGCTGCGCGTGCGTGAGCATCGCAGCCTGGGCCCCTACGTGGAGAGTTTGTCGCAGCATGCGGTCTCCGACTTCGAAGAGATACAGGTGAGTGTTGGCACTTGATGTGGGTAACGCATGATACTTAGCCTGGCAAACGATTGCCTCTTGCAGGAGTGCATTGCGCGCGGCAATGCCCATCGCACCACGGCCAGCACCAACATGAATGACACGAGCAGTCGCAGTCATGCCATCTTTACGATTACGTTTGTGCAGGCTGTCTTCATGAATGACATGCCAAGCGAGACCGTCTCTAAAATCCACCTGGTCGACTTGGCTGGCAGGTGAGTTAGTGCATGGAGCATAGAGAGTTATGTCTTTAACAAATTATTGTTGCGTCCAATTCTTTCTGCAGTGAACGCGCCAATGCAACGGGTGCAACGGGGCAGCGGCTGAAGGAGGGTGCCCACATCAATAAATCGCTTGTTACGCTGGGCAGCGTCATTTCAGCTTTAGCGGAACAGACGAGCGCGCATAATACTTCCACGTTAGCCACGACACCGAACGGCGGCACTAAGCGCGTGCTCTACATTCCCTATCGTGACTCCATACTCACATGGCTGCTGAAGGACAGTCTGGGCGGCAACAGCAAGACAATCATGATAGCAGCTCTGTCTCCGGCGGACTGCAATTACAGCGAAACGCTCAGCACGCTGCGCTACGCGAATCGCGCCAAGAACATCATCAACAAGCCCACGGTGAATGAGGATGCGAATGTTAAGCTGATACGCGAGCTGCGCGAGGAAATCAACAAGCTGAAGTCTATGTTGACTGGCGATATTGTAAGTAGTTCATAAATCCATATTGTGAATGATGCAAGCATTAAATTTGTTTGCCCAATCAGCACTCGTTGCAGCCCTCCCTCAAGGTGCTGGCCGATCTGCAAAAGAAGGAGGCGCAGGAGAAAGTCCTCACCGAAGAGTGGACGGAGAAATGGAAGGTGGCTCAGTCCATATTGCAGGAACAAAAGAGTCTCGGTCTGCGCAAATCTGGCGTGGGCGTTGTCCTCGATTCGGAGATTCCGCATTTAATTGGCATACACAATGATGTCACCACAGGCGTCACACTGTACAGCCTGAAGGAAGGCGAAACTCGCATCGGCACTGAGGACGCAGAGGTGGCGCAGCACATTGAGCTGATGGGCGATGGCATACGACCGCAGCACTGCAGCATTATTCTCAAAGGGGGTGTCGCCACGTTGCATCCCTGTCCGCAAGCTCAGTGCTGGGTAAATGCGCATCTCATCGATGAGCCCAAGCAGATTTCTCAGGGCGACATTATACTGCTTGGCCGCACCAACATTTTTCGCTTCAACAATCCCACCGAAGCAGAAAAGTTGCGCAAAGACTTGAATCGCTCACAGTTGGATATGTCGCGTCTGTCGTTAATAACATCGTCGCGGGAAAACTTACTCACATGCAGCGCCTATATAGAAGACGATGCCATGACAGGCAGTACATCATCGCCCTATAAACGATCTGAGCGCCAGTATTATCCACAGCGACCCATGTCGCGGGACGATCCCGAGTTGCAGGATGAAAATCGTAAAATTCTGGATACCATTGAAAATGCACTGAAGCAGCTGAATGTGGTATGTGGCAAATACATGAGTTTCCTTAACGATTTATTAACTTTTTTCTAACTCATCAATAGGAACGCGTTCAGATGCATGACCAATACAAGACGAAGGTGCGCAAGCTAACGGAGGAACTCAAGCGTCTGGAATTGGAAAAAATGGATGGCATGCAGATAATTAATTGCCGCGAACAAGAGCTGCTCGCTCGCAAGGATATGCTGCTGTGGGAGAAGAATAACGAAAAAGTTCAGGTACTTTCTTCCGATGAAACTAAATGCATGTAGAGCTACGATTCTTTTGTTTCGCATGTGCTTGAATTATTATTTTCGTTCGTGGTTTTTATCGTTTTTTTCGTTCGATTCATTTTCATTTTAGATCGACATTGTGTGTAGACAAATTTCAGCGTTTCAAACGCAGCTCGACTCTAAGAAACGCGATTTCTCTGAGTATGTAGCGAAAGAATTGCAGGAGCTGCATGATTGTGGCAAACTTGACGAGGTTTGTTTACTTTTCTAGTTACCTCTAATCATTTTTTAAACTTTCTTTTGCTTATCACTTAGACAACTTAGAATGGTGTATACTTAACTGGTTTTAATCTATAATTATCATTCCAGATGGGTGTAAAGATTGAGGACGGCACTCCGCTAAACGATGAGCTGCTTCTGCATGTCTCGGATTCGCTAGATTTGTTTGCAGCACAGTTTATCAAGGATACGGTGCGAAGAAATGTAAGTGCTTAATTACTAAATCACATTTAATTAACTTGCTTTTGCCTCGCAGAATGAGGAGATACGCAGGCTGGACGAGCAAATTGCTGAGAAGGAACGCATACTCAATGCTAGCACAAGTAAAATAGCCAAAGTAGACGAGACCATGCTCGAAATACTCAATTAGACTCAATTAGAGCGACTGCGGCAGGAGCGTGCCGAAAGCGAGAAGGAAACCCAGGCGATGAGGGCTAAAAAACAGAGCATGCAACTGCCGATGCCAAGTGCAAATGATATGGATGAAGTTTCCAAGTCGGACACATATGAAACCTGTGATACCTTCCATACGGCGCAATCGGATTTCTCGTTATTATCGTCGCCTACTATCACGGAGGGTCAACAGTCGCCGATGAGCAATTGCTCCTGCGATAGAGACGACGACGCCGAGGATACGCGCAAAGATGACTTCTCAGGCAGCAGCGAGGATGCTTCACGCACCTGCACTGCCGGCCCTAGCAGTGGCAGTGGCAGCACTTCAAATGCGCCCAGCTTGCAGGCCATTATGAGCGATAGTGGAGTTTGTCTTGATAGCCGCAATCAGGCGCTGCTCCAAAATGGATCTAATGGCAATTACAGACACATCACGCGCACCAGTGATGACGAAACCGGCTCCTGTTCATCTTGTGAGCTGGGGCGAAATTCTGACACGACGCGCGCCTACTGTCCGCTTCATGTGCAGCGCCGCAAAATTGCCGCTCAGAAGGCCCAAATTATGAAAAATCTCGAAACTGACGTAAACAAAGCGCAGTTAGACGAGCAAATTGCGGTACTGCAGGATCTTCAGCGAAGCTACATGCAGATGGAACAGGAAATGCTGCAAACGGTTCAGGATCTGGAATCGCACGCTGACTGTTGTCGGGAAGAACGTACTGGCATCGAAAGGCAATACGAGCTGGAAAGTTCTATAATGCGCTCTAGTGTGATGAGCCCAACCAGTATGGAGGAGTCTACCTCACAAATATATTCGCCCAGTATGACGAGATCTTGCCCTTCCATGAGAGAATTTCGTACGTGCTTGCTGAAACATCCGAAAATTACCCATATCAATTTAAATCTCTTTTATGTGCACAGCTGAAGGCGAACACTTCATTACCATACCAAGTTTCGTGATGCGCGGAGCAGGCAAACAGACCCACTACGAATACGAGGTACGAATTGCCCTTCCCGATGGCAAATTAAACATTTTGCGTCGTTATAGTCGATTCCGAGAGCTGCACTTGTGCATGAAGCATTGCTATGGTGCCAAGGTAAGTCATATACGTAATGGTTACAAATTTTATACATTAAAAACCCTCGATTCGTTTCATACAGATCTCTGCACTGCCTTTTCCTCGCCGGGAACTTTTTGCGTCGAACAGTGAGCCGGTGGCGAAGCATCGTCGCCGCTTGCTGGAGCTGTATTTGCGCCGTCTATTTGTCGTTTGCTCGAAGATACCACAGTGTCCCATTTACGATGGACCCGGGGGACCGGGCCTCACGCGTGCTTCCCTCGTTCAGCTGTCGTCTTTTTTCAAGAAGGGCCTGTTCGAGAACGGAAAGCACGGGACGGGATAATAGTTAACCTACTGCTGAATTATCTCCTGCCTACAGTGTGTCTATTTATTTATTTGTATTATCTGTTTAGTTATATGAACGATAACTTGGGCCTGTTCTAATTAGCTAGACCGCGTATAGAATGTAAATTTAATAATGTATCTACGAGTAACACCTTGTATGTTCTATGTATGTATAAACGACCACCAGTGTCCTTCCACTTTGTTATTACTTTTATATAGCTACAAGTATATACATACACAGCTGCGTAATCAACAACAATCACTCTTTGGAGCTTTACCTTAAACCAATTGTAAATGTTACTACTAAAGGCATTCTTGTGTTGTATTTAAATACGTACACGGTTGCGATTTGTTGGTCAGTTTACGCTAGATATTATCGCAGAGCGTATTTTAAAATAGATAATTTTTGCTCTAGTTAAATATTCTTTTATGTCTTGTTTGTACCGGGAACTTCCATAAGTTATTCCAGTTATTCAATCTGTGATTATCTAATGAAAGTTATATGTCAAAATCTAAATCCAAACAAAAGTACGTAACTGAACATTTCACGACTATGTTAAAAAAGAAAACAAAAACTAAAGCATATAATTATTAAATGTAAGCTAATTGTAGAGATAATTAAACACTGATGGGTCACAGGTAGGCAGATGTTTAGCAGTAGGTGATAAGCAATACATAGTTCATAAGTAATCATAAGCTGACTGTCGCAATTATAAAATACTAATTATGAGTACAATTTAACGCAAAAACATTAAATGTTAATTATAAAATGGTATAGACTAAGCACTTTAGACTAATGAGAATTGAATGTTAAAGTTGCTCGATTGCACTAACGGAAACAATAATAGTTTAAATGTTGCAATAAAAAAATTTAAAATGTATTTTAACCCAATTCGCATTTGGCGCCATGTTTGAACGGTTGGAATAAACGACTGTTAACAGTGCAATAGAGCTTTCGTTGAGCTTTCACTAAGCTTTCTGCATCAGTTTTCGCTTTGCCTCAACCAAGTCTTGGAGCTTAAACTGTATCAGAATAACGCTATAAGTAACTATTGTGAGCACCATCTGCAAAGCGAATATGAATACATGTGAATATGGCATTTTGACCAGATTGTTTCAGACTTACGCCACCAAAGTTTCTTAGATTTATATCAAAGAAATTGCTACAAGTGAAGCGCAGCTTCAAATGCTCCATTTGAAGGGCATATTCGCGCAGCACATTGCTAAGCTGAACCGGATTGCACTTTCCGAAGCTGCAGCGGATATTGTGAATAATACGTTTAATGCTCTGGTACTGAAAAAGTTGATATGAGTATATATTAGAGCAAGTATTTGATAACCAAATCTGTGTGTGAACTAAAGCTCTATCTAGTTTATTTAGATTACCGTATCGATGCAGTTTTGACTGAGCCAGCAAGGTATCAAGAGGTTGATTAGCAGAACCATAACATTGCCAAATCGCGCTGGAACGAACATTAATAGATTCGCGGTAACCATCTCAGCTGACATATTATTCTAAGCTGAAGCACTTACTGAAACGGCAATAGGCACAATCATTTGGGTTTAGAGTCTGTATAAAGGCCCAGTTGACGATGTGCAGCATGGCCACGCCGTTGTTCACGAATACGAATAGCATTGGCAGAGTATAGTAAACCTCTAGCTCACCGACCAGCTTCCAGACACGTGCCACCAGCAACTTATTGCGTTGGAGTGCAACACACAAGGCTTGGAGCAGAACGCGTTGCTCGCAGGTGGTAAACTCCTGCTGCAGGTGGATGAGCGAGCAGCGCAGACGCAGCAGTAGCTCCTGTACCAAGACCACAAACAAGCCATACTCCACAATCTTCAGCTGCAGCACCATCAAGATGAATTCGGTGAAGATCTTGTTGTACCAGTCCATATAGTCGGTCAATGAGGGCACCGATACACAGGGAAAAGCAATTATAAGAAAGGCAAGCCACAGTCCAATAAATTTGGCCAAACGTTGACGAAATTTAAAACGCTTTCCCAGCCCAACGAAAGACTGCGAGGCGACCTCTATGTCCAGCTCCAGGGCAGCTATCTCCACATAAATGCTACCCAGTTTGCGAAAGTATATCAGCATATTGCCATGAATCACGGCCAGGAGTATCGGGTAGCAGAGCTTTTGTATCTTGCCCTGGGCGCTTGTGAAATCTTCGACCTCCAAAATTAGAATTTCAAAGTTAAGTATTACTATATTTACATAGGTCACTTTTATGGCTAACAGCAGAAAGCAGAAACTGTAGCAGCCAAAGCCGAGCATCAATAGAAGCCGCTCACAGCGCTGCGTAACCCTCTCATAGAAGCTGGGCGGCGGCGTCAGCGTAAGCAGCGCGAGCAACTGCAGATATGGCCGCGCTGCGGTTAGCATTCGAGCCTTCATGGCAATGTGTAGCACACTGACCGAGCTATTCAACTGGCGGTTGCGCGGCTCTAATTAATTAAGTTCCACATACGCCACATTGGCTTATTCGGGTAATACGATTAATTGCATAGATTACACATTTGAAATATTTGCATAAGTTGAAAAGAAAACAAGTAAGAAAGCTCTAGTCGGGGTGCCCGACTAGGAGATACCCTGAAACCAGTCCTTTCTGCGAGCATTAAGATTAAATACTAATAAAAGAACTCTTTCACATATTGGATCTTTTTCTAACTGAACTTCAATTAAAAGCCAGTATCCAAATCATAAAAAAAATCAAAATTGTTTAAGTTATACAATTTGGAAACTCTAATTTAATAATTCTTAATCTCTAACAATAAAACGGTAAGAGTTATTGATTATTTAAAACTGACTTTATATGCGCAGATATCAAAAACAATTGTTTTTTAATATATATTTATATATATAATATATTTATATGTAAAAAATATTTACATATATAAAATATTTATATATATAAAATATTTTTATATATAAAATATTTTATATTTATTTATATAATATATTTATATAATCTTGTTTCTAAATACTTTTTATATATAAACTTATATACATATATATGTTTTTCTAAATATTTTAAATATATGTACAAAGATATAATGTTACAAACATTAATATTAAGAGCAGAGATTCCTTGCCTACGAGAAGCACTAAGCACACTGCAAATAACTTAACTATATCACAAAATGGAGGTAAATATAATAAATATGCTCTTAAATATTATTTATTTACATAATATTTAATAATAGTAAGTTTAGTAATTAACAATTTTAAAGAGAACAAGGCAGCATCTCAACTTAATTAACATTGCGAAAACGATCATGGAAAAATTATATTGCTAATGATCGTTATCGCTAATGATAATTGCCAGCAATCATCATGTACATAAATGATCATTATTCTTACTGATCATTATCGCTAAAGAATATTTTGACAAACTTCATTATTATAATAACAATTTGTATTTATTAACCATAATTAATAATAACTTAAATACTAAAACTCATATATTTTTAAAATTTAAACAATTGAATATTAAATAAGTACATAATGTTAAAAATAAAAACTTAATAATATATTTAAATATTTACTAAACAAAGAAAACATTTAATATATATTTAAACAAATACAAATGTTAAACAAAGACAATTAATTTAAACTTAAACAATTAAACAAGAAAAACTTAAATTTATTCACTATTTCCACTGCACTGCACAGCGACTGACCCAGTCCAGGTCATAAACTTGACTGATCGTCCACAGCGGCTGCTGCGCCCTTTTATACCCAAAAGTCACTCAAAAGTCAACTGAGCCCCTGAGCCCCTGAGCCCTTTTTGAGTGAGAACTTACACTCACATTGAATGAAGTGAGAAGCAGAAGGAAAGGCGAATAGGCAGAGCTAGCTATATACACACAACTTGTCATTCTGATCGCGAATATATATATGCTATACATACTCCATATATATGTGAATCGAATGTGTTTTTTCGTTTGGCTGTTGAGCGTATTTATTAGTTTTTTTTTACTTATTTTACATGACATAAAAGACAGACAAATATATGCAACTATATGGACAGTTTCTGATCATGCATGTATCCATATACATACAAACATATATATTATTTTTGCATTTACTAAAAACGCACTACTAAATGAGCACTTTATAACAGTTCAGCATATAAACTCCTTTTTTAGTCATTCTGAATAGTGCTTAAGGCAGGCAGACAAATAATAATTTCTCAACTTTTTTTCACATATATTGGAATATAATATACATAAAACTGAATGCAAAATTTGTAAGTTCTAGCTCTTAAGTCGTACGATATATAAATTTAATTTGATTTGAGTGGACACAGCCCAGTTGTTAAATATTTCTTATATTTATTTTATATGTATTTCTTTCTATTTTTAATATATATATAATAAATTTTATGTATATATTTTTATATATTTTTAAATAATTTTATATATGATATTATTTTAATAAAAAAATTGTTGTCAACCTTAAACTTTATTTCTTTAATTATTTCTGAGCCCCTAAGCTTACATCAACTGTGTCGGGTGTAAATAAAGTTCTTAGCTTATTGATTTCTTATTATAAAAGTTTTATAAGAGTTTCTACAATTTTCGTATGTAAAGCTAATGTGGGCAACAATTGTTATTGTTATAAGACCCAGCATGTCAAGTAATCAGTTAGGTCTTGTTCCGCTCCCTCTCTCTCTCTCTCTCATTCTCCCTCATCAGTCCTTATATTTTTTTTTCATTTATTTTTTACTATATATACGTTTTCTATATATACGTTGCCAGCAATTGTTCCAGTTTCTTGCTTCATTTTCCATTTTGTGAACATAATTGCACTTCTTGTGCGCTGCAATGTGCAAACATTTAGCAGAATAGACACAGGCACAGAATCGTTGATTCGAGTGTATGCAGCTAGCATTCGAACATGAGGCAGCCAAATCAAATGAAAGCACCCTCTGACTCGACTAGGGTCACGGAGGAGCTCCTAGCCACTTGCTAATCCCAATGTTCGCTTGTCTGCTCGTTAGAATTTCACTTAGGCGACCGTCCGCGCTGCAGGATCATGTGTCCTTTTTATACCCTGAGCCCGTTTTCAATGGGTAAAATGAGTTTATTGGCTTAGTGCAACTATTTGTAACCGACGAAAGGAGACTTATACGTAACCGGTGTATAGTATTTTCTCTTGGCAATCTATCGCTACAAGTCGATAATTTATATTTGGGAGTATTTCACAAGCTGGAACCTAGGGTATCTACTATGCGTCTGCTACACTTTAGAGTCGAGTTACTTGTTAATTTTAAACTACTTCACTTTACTTTGTCCACTCAATGAGTGAGCCATGAATGCCAGTGTGTGTGTGTGTGTGAGTCTATGTATGTATGTGTGTTATTTCTTTTTCAAGTCGTCTATTTTTCAGCTTGATTAAGCACTTTGTGTAAGTGGAGCACATGCATATATCCCTTGTACATGTCTCCACTGCCCAATGGCATTTTTAATTTACTCGGCTCGGAATATCTAAGTGTAAAGTGCCAAGACTTTGAGCTGAAGTGTCTGAGATTTCCATTTGCATTTTTTTAAATGGGAAATATATTCTAAAAGACAAAAATGAGCTTTTATTGTTGTTCTGGCTATTCAAGCGGCAAACAATAATTGAAATATAATAAAATTAAATTATTTTCAATAAAGCCACAGGAAACGGAATTACTCACCAATACACACGCACACTCACACACAGACTGTCACAAAAGGCAATCTCTTTACAGTTTGCACAGATAGTTTTTGCATTGCCTTTTATTGCGCTTATTATAAATACTCTTGGGTATTGTTTAAATTGCTTTCCGTTAAAAAAGACTGCGCATATATTTTATTTGCAAAGGTAAATAAATTGGCATAAAGGCATGTAAGCTGACTTCTGCCTGCGTCTGTCTGCGTGTGTGTGTGTGTGAGTGTTTGTGTCTCTGTGATGTCTGTGTGTAATAAACAAATACATTTTTATTATTTATGTATTCATGGCCATTAAACGGATATCCGTGGCCATTGCGCGTTAAATTGCAATGGACCCCACACCCTCGCCTCCCCAGAGAGGCTCTGCCACACGCAACGCGCCACGCGCCACGTGCGTATGTATTATATTTCTATATAAACAGATATATACAAATATCTGTATGCATATATAGTAAACTTTAATATGCGCTTCTGTGCTTACATGCAGCGCTCACTTTTATTGAATTAACGCATAAATTAACAAAAATTATGCAGCGTTTAATTCAATTTAATTAATTTTCAACGTGCCATTCACCTGAAAATTCACTTTAAGAACGGGCCAATTCTGCTAATAATGGTTAGTATATATATAAATGTAAAAAAAGAGTCACAAAATTAAATTCTTCATGGAAAATTATTAATATAAAAGCTACAATAAATATAAAAATATTTTTAAAAAAATCATCTGCTTTCAAACACTTGAAGTGTTAAAGTATAATTTAATTCAAATTTTGGTAAGCTAATATTACCAATGTTTTTTGTTAAATCTTTGCATTTGCATACATAAATATCACTAAAAATTAGCTTAAGCTTTGATCATTTAATTTTTCACATTTTGGAGGGGCTTAGGGCATTGAAGATGCGGAAAAACTAAACTGTGATATAAATATGTGTGTGAAAAGCTTTTAACTATATTAAATAAAGTTGATCTGTGCATGTTATTGGATGTCCTATATGTTTCAAATCTCTAGCTCATATTGGTTCAGTGATGCAGTCACAGATACAAGCAGACGAATGGACAGACGAACTCGCTTGTTGACACTAATCAACAATTTTTTTCAGGGGACGCACATCTCTTCATTTCACATTGAACTACTATTAAAATAAATTTTAAATAAAAAATTCAAAATATATCTTCGAAAAACTCAGTTTTAATATTAAGTTGAATATTAGATTTAGTTGAATATTAGATTTACCTTTGGCTTAACGACGGCCTAGTCGAGCAGGAGGAAATAGTAATTGCGTGATGTGTATAATACGCTCGTATATATGAATGACTATCTCATACATAAGACTAGTGCTTCTAGACAATGTACATATATATATATATATATATATATATATATATATATATATATATATATATATATATATATATATATATATATATATATATATGTATATATAAACGTACTCGACCATACACATATGCATTTATATTGGTCCAACTTTTGTTGAGGGCGGCTGAGGTAATGTGTAGATTTGCTCGGCTCTAGTTCTCATATATTAATTCTAATTAAATTTGTTATTCAAAACGAAAATGCGGCACGTCCACGTCAGCCATTTTGCAAGTGTTAACCTTTTGGCAGCCGACGCTAAGCTCTTGCAAATGGACCAACATTGACGGCGACAATTCGCACGAAGCGGCCCGAAAACAACCTTGACATTTTTTCTTCTTTTTTTGCCCGTTTTCATTACACTAATGAAGTCATGTGCGACTGTGTTGACAGCAGCTGTGGCAGCGCGCGTGTGTGTGAACGCAGTAGGTGTAGATGTAGCTTTGTGTCTTGTCCAGGTCCAGGCAAACGACTATTGCCAGACATATAAAAGGTGCATGACGGGCGCAGCAGCGACGCCTCATTAAACCATTTTATTATGCCCAACGCCATGGGGCGGACTTAACTTTGTCAAAGATTCCCAAGCCCCCACACACACACTCTCCTACACACACACATGCCACGCCCACACAAATGCGCACAAGTGTAAACTGAACACAGGACGCCTACATCGTTCGCTGGCGCTCACATTTAACGCTTTAAATTCGAGTGCATCTCGAAGTGGAAGTCAAGTCGCTGGAATGCCAGCTAAATTGTAAGACGACAGAAATATTTCAACAGGAATTTACGATTCGCGCACACTAAATGCTCATTTAGTTTGCACTTTTATTTAGAAACTTGGTTTGCACGTCTGCCAAATTGTCTGCGGTAGCGAAAAGCCAGCCACAGCCGCCAACAACCGCTGCACCAGCAACAACAACGACAACACAAGCAACAGCCACAAGTAGAACAACAACGTTGTTTGGGCAAAGTGCAATAATAATGAAGGGAGAGGCGTAAATTTAGCTTTGGCTGCAGCCTGCCAAGCGAGAAAAACTGGCTGCTAACAGACGGCGAGAGAGAAAGAGAGAGAGAGAAAGAGAGAGAGGGAGGTAAAGTGTGGCTCTTGCCAGGTGAGCCATGTTGTCAGCGGAAGGCAGCAACAAATTTTCGTTGCGAAAGCTTTTAGTAAATTTATGGCAAGAAATTTCCCCAGCTTGAACTGCAGCTACAGCTGGAATGGCCTGCCTGGCACTGGCCGTTTGTTTATGTCGTAGCTTAGGGCCACTTCCTGGCACGCGGTATGCATTTTA